GGGGGAATCAAGGGACCAGGTAATGGAAGGGATGGAGTGAGTCAGAGGACCATCTCCATGGGCCTACAGGAAGAGAGTGTGGCTCTCCTGTTCCCCCCCAAGCCAACATCACCATGGCTTGCCTCTATAGGTAGAGTTTCCTAACCATTAATATTCATCTCACTTGGAGAAAATCTTACCTGCCTCTTAGGATGATGTTTTCACCAAATAAAGAACAGCCAAAGAGCCATTAGGAAACGTGGGTACGAGTTCTGGGGCTCCCATCTGCCATGCATGTAACCTAATCCATGTCACCTTTTGGAGGGTCAGCAGAAATGTGGACCACAACCCCCTTGCCTGTGAGGATTACATGTGATTGGGAAAACCAGCAATGACCCTATGGAGTTAAGGCACAGGGAAGACCACAAGGGCTTTCAGATTTAGGATTCTGGATTCTTGCAGAACAAATCCCAGCTCCATGATTGACCATCTGTGTGTTATCACATACGTCACTTAACCTCTTTGAATGTCAGCATTTTTCTCTATAAAACTGGGGTTCACCACACTACCTCTCCCCCAGAAATGTGGAGAGGAGAATGAGGTAAGAGAGAGCTTTTCCTTGTTTGTGATGTTGTCAATGTCAAGTTCTTCTTGGTATGGCTTAGCCTGGTGTATTTACAGAAGAGTAGACTCTGAGTTCAATGGGTCAGTTCCTGGGGGCTATCAGGGAGAACTCTACCCTGTACCCTTGATCTGCAATCCTCTCACTTTCCAAGGAGGATGATAGATAATCATTTCCACCATAAGATCTTTGTGTACTTGGATGTGAAGACATATGGCGGAAACTCGACTGGAAAGTCATTAGCTCTGAGATGGGAAAACCAAGGGTTGGAGACACAGTGAGCAGCTTGTGACTATCTGGGCAGACAAGGAGTGAGCAAGTCTGATGTAGAGCTCAGGCCTCCAGGGAAGACACGATGGAGACAAGCTAATGACTGGGGACTCTACCCCATAGGTGTGAGGTGAAGTGGCAGGGAGAAAACCCATACTCACAAGACATCCTGGCGTAGTGGTTAAGTGCAAGGCCCTTACAGCCAGACTACCTGGGTTCAAATCCCAGCCCTGACTTGTTCAAAGTACATGCCTTGTCATGCAGCTGGAAATTGTTGCCCCTGCACCTCCAATAGAGTAGATATTATTATAAACCTTTGATAGAGGAAGTCAAATGATACAAAATTAAAATACATGTGTTTAGCCAAAAAAAGAAAGTGAGAGGGGAGGGAAGCATTTGAATTAGGTCAGGAACACACATGCTGAGTACAGTTGAGATGGCCTGGGTATCTGGTCTTCCCTCAGTCGGTCTCATTCAGGCTTTCTGCTTGAAGCATCCCCTTCCTACCTCCCAAACAATCCAGCCCCTGTTGATAGGTTAAGTATTGCTCTAGCCATATGGAAGCAACCTGACCCATTCCTGGTTTTGTGGATCAAGACACTGCTTGAGTCTCCAAGCATTGTATGTTCACCTCCAGGCAGGACCCAACTCTGCAATACCACTCTCTTTGCTACGTATTCTCTCCTCCCTGGGCTATGATCATTCCTTGTGTGAAACTCAGAGCTCTGCACAATTTCCATATAAGCCCAACTTCTCCTCTCTACTACCAGAAAGCATACTAAAAGACAGGGGACTGAAGTGGTTGGTTCCATATGAAAATAATAAACTCAAATCCACTCCTTAGTCTTACCAATTACCAGTGAAGATGCTATCCTTGACTGGATGTCAGAAATAAAAATCAGTGGTGGTTGGGCTGGGAAGGTGGCCCAGTGGTAGAGTGCTTGCCTTGCATGCATGAGGCCCTGATTTCTATTCCTTAGTACCACATAAGCAGAAAAAGCTGGAAGTGGCACTGTGGCTCAAGAGCTGGAGTGCTAGCCTTGAGCTGAAGAGCTGAGGGACAGTGCCCAAGCCCAGAGTTCAGGCCCCACGACCAACCACGCCCCCCCAAAAAATCAGTGGTGGTCAGTTTTCAGATAAGGCATTTGATCTTGAGTGGAAAAGAGTGACACAGTTTTGTGCCTTAGAAAACCCATAGACAAACAGGGCTAATTAGAGACTGACTAGCAAGGGGAAGAATGGACTGTAAAAAAATGAGAAAATGGGTAGAAACTGTGTATGTGCTAGAAAGCACATACCCAGAAAGGCCTTCTCCCCACCCCTACAAAACAACAAACAAGGAAAGAGGGTAGAGACAGCCCAAAGCTCACTTCTTGACTTCAACCAACCTCAAGAAGGGTGCATGTGTTGGAATTACGCAATAGAAAGCAATGTAACTTCGGTGACATCTGGGAAGGAATGTAAGCCCCACAATTCTCAGGCCAGTGAGGGGTTAGAGGAGGGACCCCATGTGCTAGACACAAATGGTTTGTTGTAAAAGTGGAAAGGGCGTCTGCCATCAGACACTGGGTCTTGCAATACAATCATGAAAGTCTTGCTTTTGCTGCATTCCTGGCCTCGAGTGTGAACAAGTTCAGTGTGGGTCTCACAATGAACCTGGGTCACAAATGACTGATCTTTTCCAGTGGCAACACAGTCGCCTGAAACTAAGAACTGCTTGTTCAAGATTTCACAGACAAATCTTTGCAAAGGAGGTCTGCCTGTAGTTCATTTACCAGGAAGACCATCCTTCATCAAGTCATGCCCAAGAGTCAGTTTGGGTACCACCCATGGCAAAGGAAGTAGCTAGACCTACAGATTTAAACCCTAGAGGTTTAAGTCCTGCCTGTTACCACCTGAATATGTAATATAAATGATGATTTACTTACTATTCTCTTTTATATTAACTTTTTCTTATAAACAATTCCTTTAAAGAGGCTGAAATTTGAGAATTGTGGTTCAAAGTCAGCCCAGGGCAAGAAAGTCCATGAGACTCTTTGTCCAATTAACCACTAAAAAAATGTTAGAAGTGGAACTGTGGCTCAAGTGGTAGAGCACCAACACTGAGCAAAAAGGCTAAGAGACAGAGCCCAAGCCCTGATTTCAAGCCTTAGTACTAATGTGCACATATGCACATGCACGTGCGCACATACACACATTTTAAGAGAAAATGGTAGTCCCTCTTAGTGCACAAAAATGAATCTCAAAAACTGCTTAATAAATTTAAAAAACCAAGCATTTATTTTACCCTTTCTGTGAACCTGACCATCATGGAATGATGAAATTACTTTGTGTGTGTGTGTGTGTGTGTGTGTGTGTGTGTGTGTGTGTGTGTGTGTGTGTGTGTGTGTGTGCACGCACGTGCACTGGTACTAGGGCTTGAACTAAGGACCTTGCAGTGTCCCTGAGCTTTTGTGCTCAAGGGTAGTGCTCTACCACTTGAGCCACAATGGCACTTCTGACTTTTTGGTGAAGGTAAGGGTCTTGAGGGCTTTCCCATTGTGGGCTGGCTTTGAACTATAATCCTCAAATCTCAGCCTCCTGAGTAGCTAGGATTACAGATGTGTGCCACTGGAATCTGGCAGAAACTACAAACACATTTTTCGCAACACATCCCAAATTGTGATGGAAAGGGAAATGATACAGAGTTAGGCTAACATCCTTTTACAATCCCCAATGAATCAATGAGTCTAAGTACTGAGAGAGACCAGAAGATGATATGTGGCTGGAAATGAAAGAACTCGCTCCCTCCACAGGGGTAGAAAACATCCAACCACAGCCCACAAGCCTGTGAAAGCATTTGTTACAAGACACCTAAGGCTTCTCATTGGCTGTCCGCCGAGGCTTGCTGCCTGTGTTGATCATTTTGTATGTCCTGTAATAATGTTCTAACTATTCAAGTTGCCTTCGGCAGAAAAAAAAGAAAAAGTTCCCTCCCCCAGGGGTCTTGCAAGTAGGATTAAAGCTGAGTCTGACGAAGCATCTAGATCCTAGTTTCCAATTTTCAGAAAATAGGGCAGGGGAATGTGCTGAGATGCGGTAGGACTATCTAGTAAGCAAACCCCAGACCGAGAAAAACATTACAGATCAAACAGCCCAGGATTTCCAGTAGATGAAAGAAGATACAAGAAAGGGGTGGGAGAGCTGGGGAAGGGGAGGAGGGTGGCTGTATCACTAAAGACTGAAAATTAGATGCAACACAGTAGCATCCTATCTCACAAAGAGGTGGTCTTTGAAATCATCAGGAAAGTTGGAAAAAGAGCGAACCCAAATTAATCTCAAGGATTCTCTCAGAGCATCATCACAAGGCCCTTATGACCTCAGAAGCCACAGCTGCAAGAATTAACTTGGTACCTCTTCATAGTGGGTCTGTGGCCTCTTCTTCCTCCACTGTGGAGGCTGAGATCAGATGAGCAGAGAGGAAGGGATCCCTCTTGCTATTGAAGGCAGAACTGAAATCACAGCAAGAACAGCATACAAATGTTCCCTTCTCAATCTGACAGTCATGGCTCTGAGCTCACTTGTCCCAATGAGTGGACATTGCAGGGTTGGGCAATCATACAACCCCTTCTTTGAGGAGACCCCTTGCAAATCAGAGCCTGGGCACTGTCCCTGAGTTTTTGTGATCAAGACTAGTGCTCTACCATTTGAGCCACAGATCCACTTCCAGCTTTTTGGGTGACTAATTGGAACTAAGCGTCTCATAGACTTTCTTGCCTAGGCTGGCTTTGAACCGTTATCCTCCGATCTCAGCCTACTGAGGAGCTAGGATAACAGGCGTGAGCCACTGGCATCCAGCTAGTCTGTGGATCTTTGTACTGAGTTCCTGCCTCAAAGTCATGGTCTGCTGTCAGAACACAGTTCCACCCTGATGGTTATGAAATCAATTGCCTGAGTTCCTTAATCTGAGTTGGCTCAGCATCTGATTCAGGAATTCTTGGTTGACTTTTCTGGACCTAGCACCATTTTTTTTTCTATAATGTCAAGGGCTCAGGTAGCTCATTGGACAGGGGACTGCTGAGCCATAACTTCCAGCCAAAGCTTGGGTACAGCCCCAGATGTACCCTTCCAGGGCCACTGGATAAGTTACCATAGTCTGGAAGCAGGAGTGGAGCTGGGTCAGGAAGGGCGGCTTGCCGGGCAGGGCCAGCACGCGCTTCTCCACCATCGTGCATTCCACGTCGTCATCTTGGATCACCACATCCTTCTTCAGGATCTTCACTGCGTACAGCTCATCCGTGCCCTTCCTCTCAGAGAGCATCACCTGGGGAAGACAGAAGATGCATCAGGGAAGTGACGTGCTGGGGCCAGCTGCAGACAGCTGTTCACGGTCCCAGCCACTCCCAGTGTGGCCCTCTGCTAACTGGGAGACAAGGGGACCGTGCTGACCCCAATCAATCCAGAGGGTACAAGGAGAGCAGAGAGGACCCAGCACTGACCCCTTCCTGATTCGCATCAGTGCCTCGCTCACGTGGTTAGAATAAAATAGCCCTGTTTAATCCACTGGCATAATCTAAGAGCCCACAATAGTACTTGCACATAGTAGATGTCCAATAAACACTTATGGAACCAGCGAATGCCTGTCAGAAGTGAGTATTTATTCTGTGATGAAGTGTTCTCAAACAGCCTGCTAAGCACAGGTGACATAAGCAGGCTTGAATGCTGGAGAAGGAGAAAGTCTTTGGGCAATTCATGGTAGGGTGGTTGTGAGACATAGTCTAATGGAGTTCTCTGTTGTCTTGGGGCTTCTGAGGACACTGATCATGGTCAGGACCAATGGCTGGTGAACATATTATTTTTCTTGGTTTTGAGTATCCAGGGGGAGCAGTGATTTAGGTACTATCCTAAAAAAAGGTTCTGGAAAGCTCAAGGAAGAACCACATTACAGAAATCCAATCTGATCTGGGAGCTCCTGGGAAGGCTTCCTGGAAGAATAAATTTAACAGATTGATATAGTTACTCTATACACTGTGTTCTCTTCTTTGTATGTATTAATCATCACCAAATTCTTAAGCACCTACCAATGTAACCACGCAATTACTGGTTTACATTGGCTATTTTCATTTACTTTGCATTATAGTCTAGGAAGTAGGTAGACTGTGAACCTCCATTGTGCAGGAAACTGAGGCACAGAAAGGTTAAGTAATCTGCATACACCACAATTCCATAAAGCCAGAACCAAGATTTGAACTCAGGTCTGTCTGACCAAAGTTCCTGCCTTCTAAAAACAACTTCAGGTGAGCTCCAGAAGAGAGCTCAAGGTGGTTAAAGAAAGGAAGTGCACACACCTGACTCGGGTGTAGGACCAGAGGATGCACCAGAGACCCAAGACAAAGAGAGAAACACACACAGGAAAAGAACCTAGACACAGGGGACAGGCAGCTCAGCACAGCTTGCTCAGCTGGTCTGACTGGACTTAGACACAGAAGCTCGGTGCCTCCTACATGAATGCACTGAAGCTTCCAGGCTGAGCTCACAGACTCCTTGTCTGAGCTCCTGACACAGTAAGCAGTGATCCAGGGCAGGGCAGCTGCTGGGATTTAGGGCATTGTAGGAAAAGGTTTCAGGCATATATTTCCACAGCAACAATGAAGTTCCTCAGCCCCACAATGAAGTCTAAAAGCTGCCCTCCTGCTCGATCTGACCTGCTGGGCTTTGAGTCAGATCTCAAAACCCATCTACTACTTTTGGTGGTGAGGAGGGGCCCACCGGGGTAGATAGCCCCAACTCTTCTGTCTTGTCTCCCTGGTGCCCACTGGTTTTCCTCCCTCAGCCGCTCATCAAGACAGATCCCAAGACCGCAGCAAGCAACTGTTCTAAGATGTAGAATCAGGAGATAGAAGACTCTCCTGGGAGAACCAGGCTAGTTAAGGTGAGGTAGGGAACAAGCAAGTGCTCTTCCCATGGTGCACTGGAGTGGAGGGATTACAGTGGAAGAACATCAGAAGCAGGTAGAAGGATCCCAGAAGCAGGTGGGAGGATCCTGGAAGCAGGTAGGAGGGACTTGACACTGACACACAGCCAATCCTGGATGCCTGTGGCTCCCCCTCCTCTTCCAAGAGCAAGGGAGCCATGCTGGAGTCTATGAATGACATCTTAGCCCCCTGCTTAAGACCACAGGGCAGAGACCAGGATAAACAGCCGCTATCCGCTTTTAGTTAGAAAGACACTGAGACTCTTCAGAGATGATCTTTCCTGAGCCAAGAATTATTTCTAAAAGCTGTAGACCAGATCATACAACCTGCATGCCTGAAATCCTCCATGGTTCCCCAAGGCTTGGCATTTCATGATCTTTTCTTCTGACTATTCCATTCCCGTGGTTTGCAATGTCCTTCTACACCCTAACACTGCCTAGAAAAGATGAAGGTCACTTCTCATGACCTCCAAGAATTCTCCAGCCCTGATGACTCCCTTCAGACAAGGCAACCGCCACCTCCCAGGCACCAGTTCTGCCAGCACTCACCTCTTCTACTTGTGTGTGTGTGTGTGTGTGTGTGTGTGTGTGTGTGTGTGTGTGTGTGTGTGTGTGTGTGTGTGTGTATGTATGTGTGTGTATACTAGGGCTTGGATTCAAGGCCAAGGCCATCTCCCTTGGCTTTTTTTTAAACTTAAGGCTGGCACTCTACCACTTGGGCCACAGCTCTACTCCTGGCTTTTTGCTGATTAATTAGAAACAAGAGTCTCTTGAATTTTTTTGTTCCAGGCTAGCTTTGAAACTTGATCCTCAGATCTCAGTCTACTGAGTAACTAAGATTACAGGCATAAGCCACCAGGCCTGACTCCTTTTCTCTCTCTATTTTTTCCTGCTTAGCCCTTTCAAATTCTGGTCATGTGCCTAGCACTTGAAGATTACACAGGAGAGAAAAAGAGGTGGGGGGAAATAGCCCTACACAACATTAGCAAAGAAAATGGTTGCATTCTAAACTATCCCTTTAAGTGGAAACCCTAGTCTTTTATGAATTGTCTTAAGCAGTTCCTGGAGCTTCCAGAAACTTTAATATCAACATGGAGGGTGTGGGCTGTTTGCTCAGCTGTGCCTCCGTCTCCAGGGCCCGGGTCCCAAACAGATGGAAAGGATGTGTTGAAGTGACGTTCTTATCAAATTCTCAGCCACATCTGTTAGCCAAGAGGCTTCTGGGAAAGTTATAATAAACAGCAGAACTCCAGGGGCAAAAACTAAAACAGAGAAAAGTAGCCCAGGAATTCCTGGCTGGAAAGTTGGTTATGATGAGCTTTGCCAGCAAGTCCCACAGGTAAAGTGGGCCAGGAATCCTGGCCTACATCCATGGGGTGGGCTAATGCTCTAGCGTGGTTTTGCTATGAGTTGAGAATAAGAACAGCTAGTAATGTGTCCAGGATCACTGCACACTAGCTGTGTGACTTTGGGAGATTCTCTGAACTTCTCTGAGCCTTAGTATTCTCATTTATAAAAAGAAGACTATTACCAGGGGCCCATGGTTTATGCCTGCAATCTGAGCTACTCAGAAGGCTCAGAGCTGAGGGTCAGGGTTCTAAGCCAGCACAGGCAGGAACATCTGTGTAACTCATCTCTGATTAAGCACCAAAAAACTGAAAGTGGAACTTCAGCTCAAGTGGTAGAAGGCTGGCCTGGAGCACAAAAGTTCAGGGCATTGTCCAAAGTCAACAATGTCAGCGATACGGATTCCTTTTGACTTTGAGAAAGATTGGCCCAAGCCAGCTCTGGTAGCTGCCAGCAGGCCTTGGCATCCCTTGGTTTATAGACACATTACTCCCATTTCTGCCAGTGCCTTCACATGGTGATCTCTACTGGGTGCTCTGTGTCAGCGTCCCAATGTCCCTTTTCTTACAAGGACACAGCCATGGATGCGATCAGGGCCCACGCTAGTCCAATACCACCTCATCCTATCTCAATGACCTCTCTACAGACCTCTCTCTGAGTGAAGCCCGCCTTCTGAGGTGCCCGTGGCCAGGACTTGAACACACAATCTCAAGATGACACAACCCTATGCATGATAGTAGCTCTCCTCAACGGTCTCTCATTTGAGAAAGAACACGAGACTGATGGTACCTTTTGAACCCATATCCGATCCCCAGCTGGCTGGGGAGTTTGAAACTTCAAGCAATAAAGACCCTTCTCCTCACCCATTCCCTCCTCAACAGACACCTGCCCCAAGTTCAGAGCTCCCTTCTCCCCCTACTTCATTCTGCTCCCTCACACCTCTCCTTCAATGCACCCACATACTTTGTTGGCTCTATGTCTGACCTAGGCACCTGATCCACACTGCTGGTAATGAGGGGGAAAGAGTCTTTTTTTTCTTCTTTTTTTTTTTTTTTATTGTAGGTCATGGGGCTCGATCTCTGTGCCTGGATGCTGTCCCTCAGCTCTTCAGCTCAAGGCTAGTGCTCTACCACCAGAGCCACAGCACCACTTCGTTTTCTGGTGGTTAACTGGAGACAAGAGTCTCATGGACTTTCCTGCCTGGGCTGGCTTTGAACCATGATCCTCAGATCTCAGCCTCTTGAGTAGCTAGGATTACAGGTGTGAGTCACCAGTGGCCAGCCTGAGGGGGAAAGATTCTAACTTGATGATTTCAGACAGTGCATTGAAAACAGAGGCAGAGAAATTGGGTTCTGAGGATCCCCTGATACTTAGGAAAGGACACCAGAAAGGTTATAAAGAGTGACGATGAGTGTGGAAGAATGAACGGGATCATGCTTTTCTTGAATGCTTAGAACGCGAGGGAATAGCTGTGGGTAGATTAGATGCAGCACTTAAGAGTCATCTGCTGGATCCTCTTTCTACTGTTCAGGCGCACTTTCTTTGAGGATCCTGTGATCTCTGGAGCTACCTCCTGTCTGCATTCACCCAGTCCCATGGACCCTTGCAGCGGGGCTCCAACCAGCTGAGCTCTAAGGCAGACACAGCGCCTGCCCTCCCCCAGGCCACAGGCTCTCCTTGCCTTTGTCCCGCTTGCTCCCAGCAAGCTGTTGTCTGCCCCCTCCGTGCTGTGCGGCACATTTTAAAATTCCCTGCAGATCCGTGAGAAGCTGATGTGTGGGCCATGTTCCAGACCAATTAAATCAGAATCTTCTCAATCTTTGGGTCCTTCCTGAGCCAAGGTCTAACCAGCACCGGGAGAGGACAGGGAAGTGAACTGGCCAGAGGCCCTCAGGACATGTTGTAACCAGGAGCTGGAACATGAGCCAAATGCTCTCTATCAGCTTCCCCCCAAGGGCACTCGCCCTGTGGAGAGGAGGATTTTGACAGAAAACCGGGTGCAG